AATTGGCCCCCGCTGACAACAGAATCTATTAGAGTTAGTCCCCACTGCCACAAGACCCAATATCGTCCAATTCAAAAACCAAGCAACCATTTCAATGAGAAATAAACAATGCAATGTAGCTCCAGATGTCATTGTTTGCGTAGCAACTCACAAAAAAATCCTTCCATTAAGGGATACAATTGAAAAAAAAAACACTTCAGAGAATAAAATATACAAAAAAAAAAAATTCAAAATTCCCCTGGTTCAGTGAGGCGGCAGGGTTAATTGGAGGTATCATATTATTATGAGAACACTCAGCTAAAATGCAAAATAATAAAACAATTAAGGAATATTAAAAACACCAGGTCAACTCATATAGTTGATGACGCAATTTAAGACGGCATATGTGGTTAGACTACTGAAATTGAGAAACTTGTGCCTTTAATTTAGACAATCTCAAGTTGACAGCAATACAAATTCCAAACATCTTAATGTGGATGAGTTCTTACAAGAGTAAAACAGACCAAAAATATTGTCATTGCAACCTACCTACGAAGTGTCAACTTAACCAAATTAATTAAAACAACTTGAACTATCTATCTATACAGGTGAGAACAAGGAGGACAATTTTCCCTTGCACATTGCAAATGTATTTTGATATTTTTTGCGGCCTTCACATATATCTCTTCTTTCCATTCCTTTGCCCTCACCTGTCTTTTATACAGATGTTTCTCATCAACACAAAAACAATGGCTAGTATCTAGTTATTCAAGTTTCTTTTGCCCATCCAAAATAGTTGGCAATGCATTGACTGACAAAACACACGATGAAATCATCAAACGCTTTAGTGCAGGGAAGTTTTCTGCAATCAAAGAAGCAGTGGCAGAGCTTATGCGCCCAAAAAGGGTTAGACTATGAATACGCTTGCAGAATTTAGCAAGCCACTTAACTATTGTATCATTGCAGCACACTTCTTCCAAATTTCTCCAGGGTAGAAGTGCCCCCACAACAAAAAATTGGTCGATGCTAGTAGTAGGAAATGAGATACTTCTTACCAAAGGCAACCTGCAATAGTAATATTGTCCATCAACAAACATATATACATGGAAGAAATCAGCGGGTAATTCGCCAAACAAAACCTTGGTGTAATGGTTTTGAGGTCGAAAAGGACCAAGCGCCAAGTGGAGAAGAAAAAAATAACTTCCACGTGCACGATTGCAATAACTATCTGGTGGAAATTTGTCATAGGAATGGAGATCAAGAGTTGTTCCAGGAGGACAGAGAGCATGGAGGAGGGCCAACAGCCATGGCTTGCAGAAATACATGGTATTACCATCCAATGTCCGCCACCCAAGTGATTTCACTAACTTGTTCATTATCATAACCAATATGTCATGGTCCATTTCATTCCAACTTCTAATTTGACAAGTCGTCGCAACTACTTCTTGCAGCTTTGCCTTCTTGTGGTTACGCCTTGTTGATAAACTATACATGTTGTCGCCACTTTGTTGTTGCATCTCCGGTACCGGTGGCGGTGGTAGGGGCGACACCGGTGACAATATTGGCAGTTTTCGAGACCGTTTCTTTAACCACATTGCCATCAAATTAAGGTCCCTTTTTACAGGAAAAAAAGGTGTTATTAACTAGGGCTTCACACATGTACTGTGTCGTTAAAAATACATGATTCCACATTGAGAAATGATTTTTGGATCATACATACATACATATACATACAAATTGGACGAGAGAATTCAGAATTTTTTTTATCCTAAAGAAATACAAATCACACCCATAAAAATTAAAGGAAAACTCCACCCTGATAGATTAGGGTTTAGAGACATAGGGATCAAAATATTAGATTCATGGACTCCATTACCTTAAAAATCACAGCTACAAGGTTGCACAATAAAGCAAAATAAATAAACAAAAGCTCTGAAATTTAGTGAATCCACACAATTTAATTCCAACGTCTCGAAACCCTCCCTTCAAGTGCTAGGTGGGATCAAAATCAACAGCACCAAAATTCAGGTGTAGAGGAAGCATGGATCAAATATCCCATAAACAAAGATCAACCATAACAGATGTACCCACCATCATCAAACGAAAATTGTGCACTATACAAAAAACCCAACATCCAAAAAGACCAGAACCAACAAACTAACTACATGTACAAAAACACAACAGCGAAAGGCAACAAAGCACACAAAGACGAGAACAGTTACCTTTGTGGGTGTATCGTTTTGGATAGTAAGATGTTTGTGTTTGATTAATTTATTTTTGTAAACGCCATATTTGATTATGATGTTTTGGGGAGTAGGTTTTGCCCAACCATTTATCGCGTGGCTTGTGTGAGTTCGGCAAAATAAATTGTATCAGAGTAGTTCTAACAAGCCCTGGGCGGCAAGGTTGGGCTTTGCAGTAAGCACGGTAGGTTTGGCAGTGTATCATAACAGACATAGCCACAGGAAAGCTTGGCATACTACACACTGAATTTAGTGCTAGCCAAACCCAGCTACAGATAGGTTTGGTGGCAGTCTATCTTACCCAATCGCTTTGCCAGACCTAAAAATTGATGGGTCTAGCACCATGGATGATAGGAAACAGTACGCGTCCATTTTTGGAAATGTTTTTGCGCCCCCTTCATATTTTGATTATAATTTTTTACCCGATGCAAATCATCCCCATTCAAAAAGTTCTTTTTGTAACACCCATCGCAGGCAAACACCTATCCCCATCTGGGATTGTCTCGGCCTCCAAATTCCATAGTTGAGGTCTCTATTTTCATAGTTTTGTAATTGTTTTTTGTCATTTTTGGTAACTTTTCAAGAATTTATTTCGTTGTGATTTCTATTCTTTTTTCTAGTTAAATTTTGCCGAATGACTTGCTTTAGGCAGCATTTCTATTTTCTCGAATAATTTCTATTTATTTTTTAAATTTTATCCTTCCAATTAAATCTATGATTTTTCTTGAATAATAATAATATATATTTTTTAAAAATTTAATAATAATAATAATAATTTTTAATTTATTCTTTAAAATACTTAAGTCAAGCATAAGCAAAGACCCAAATAATTTGGGTATGTGAGGGGTTTGACTATTACACCCTCCCCGAATAACTTGAATCTAAAATCTACATTCCCACAATAATTTATATTATTTCCGAATAGTTCTGTAGTAACTTTTCGCGTTGACCTGTTCTAATTGAGATGTCCATTCGACGTATCCGAAGCAATGTCTCATTTGATGTATATCTGAAGCAATGTCCTAGTAAGGAAGCAAACAAATCATCTGTACAATTAAAAGCACAGACAAAGCAATACTCTCCTGTCAACAAGAATTAGCCATAACAAATTCTTCATGTCCTTCGACTCCTGTTCTAATGCTCGTTCCTGCAAAAGTTCTAGCAAGAATGTCTTCCATACCTTTTATCCCTCTTCTTTCCAATTCATCTTGGCATGACTTTTGGCACTGGCACATTTTGGTGCCCTGTTGGAACTTGGAAAATGAAATTGATACTTGTCCGTGTGAAGTCGCCAACTACATACAGAATATTTAAGGTGAGTTCTAGGCTTTCATGTCATTGAATTGATGGAATAGCGGTTCTTATCAACTGCGTTGGTTTGTTTTCCAGGTTTCATGGAGCTATGCACGTTAGAGGTTTCAGGGAGTTGGTGTGGAGGACTCGCTAGATTTAGAATATTTAGTCAAAGTAGAATAAAATATTGTTTGATTGCCCTTGTGAATCGTATAGGTGCTGATGATGAAATTCGATATGAGAAGGATCTAAAGTCTCCAATTGGAGAAGAAAGTGAAGAAGCAGAAAGTTATTTCAAATTCCTATCGAAGTTTGCCTACTTCTCATCATTGCTTCATGATTTGCAAAACTTAGTATCGCTTGCAGTTCAGGAAATCAAAGAGAGGACAGTATTAGTTTGTGCAATCGATACTGAGTAGGGCTCAAGATGAAACCTATACATGCTGTGGCATAAGTTTCTTGTATATGAGCTTTAAACAAGCAAGGCTGTTTTTCCATACAGAACTGTTTCGAGTACCAAGGGGCTATCGTGCTATTTTAATCATGCATTTGCTTCCAAATAGAGAAATGGCACCGTAGTGCAAGCCTGTTAAGATGTTAAGAGCACGCCACCTGAAAAGGCACGAAATCCACCCCATCGACAATGAAAGCTAGCAAATCCACAACTTCAAGCAAGTATTCAGCGAGCAGTGCGCTTCGTTGAAGCTAGTGGTTGATTTACCGCTGAAGGTGATGAGCCCAAATGAATCAGAGCATTCAAGAATGGAGTATGTGGACTCAGCCCTGTTGTACAGCTCCTGCTGGCTGGTCTGTGATTGAACAATGGCCCCATCCCTACTTCAGGTCCCAAGGGGCACTTGATATTTTCTGTTCTTCTTCAATATCTCCCACCGTAGCTTGTCATCTTGTGTTTGGTCTTCCTCCAGACCCGAGAACTTCACAGGGATGGAAAAGAGAGATATCATCAACTGTTTCCAACAACTCAGAAAAGTAAGACTCCATCAAGATACTTAAATATCCCAGCAAAACTGTCAGATAAATAACAAGGAAAGAAAATGTTTTCAGTTTCATGTGTTTTTCCTTGAGTTAAGTTGACCTTACAGCACATGAATCCATGGAGTTGGTGTGAAAGCACTGAACAAATACAAATCCACATGCAAGAGCTTTTGTCATCTGTCCGATTAAGAATTACTAAGCTAAGAGCAGGCTTCCATTGGAAATGTCCTAAGAAAATAATGAAGGGTGTGGGAAAACACTGTTTATCCACACCCATTTTGCTATGAATTAAAGTCTTTTCCTTCTCTCTCTTTTTTTTTTCCATTTTGATATGTTAATGCTTTTTTTTTTCCTCCAGATTTTTCGTTTGAAATTGTGTTTAGTTGGAATTCAGCTTAATAATTTATTTTGATTGCCTCGCTTATAGGATCTTGAGGAATGGGAAAAAAAAACTTTTTTTAATTTAAAATAATTGAAGGTAAGAGGATTAGATTTGAACAAAAACAAGTATTCATCCCATTTTCTTTAATAAATCAGGGATTAAATTGCAGGGGCTCGCAAAACATCCCCTTTTCTTTTTTTTGGTTACTCAATTTCTTCTTCTTCTTTGAAATTGAGTTTATTTGAGATTAGATTTAATAATGTTTTTTAGGTGCCTAGAAATGAATATACCGTGATGATGGGATAAAAAACCCCTTCCATATCACTCCAAAAGTTGTGCAATTCAATAAATAGGAATTTATGAAGGTTTAATTTAATTACGCATAAAAAAAAGTTCTAAATTTTCCTCCAACCCTCTTTTCTTAAAATCAAGATTCCATTTTCATTCTGTAACTTATTAATTTATTTTCAACAACTAAGAAATTCATTTGTAATTTGCAATAGTCATGACAATGAAGTTCATTTTCTTTTTTTCTTTTTTAAAATATTTTTTGGGAATAATGATGTACTTTTTTCTATTTTCATTTTTGCAAGAGAAGTATTGCATCTCAATGTTTTACCATGAATACAGAGTCTCCATTAGAGTTTTCGTTTTATTGAGTTATTAAAGAGCAAAAACTAGATAGCTTTTGATTACTCAAAATTCAATGTAGCATTCAATCATTTCTCCTTGCACTGTCAATCACAGGAATACTGGTAACAAGATCTGCGCCTTCTTTTTCTGCTATAAATTTCTCCCAATACACGGTATATTCATTGCAAGACCACAAAATTTCATAGTGAAATTGATCAGCCATCCATATTGGGGCATGAGAAGCTCCAAATCCTGGTCAATCAATGCATTAATAAACCATGATTTTCTTGTCCAGATTGTATGCAATGAAATATATGGAAGGGGTGGATTTCTTTGATTTGGTTATCAACTGTGTTTTAAATGTTCCCTCTGCCCTGTAAAGCAGCATGATTAACCATAGGATGCTAAATACCAAGTTCAAAACTCACAAAAAAAATCCATTTTAAAAGAACTTGACAAGCACTTCCTAAAGTATCACGGGCTCCAAGATTGCTTTACCAATATCTGCTCACCATAAGGCAGTCTATGATATAAGAAAACCTGTGCCAGGCTATCTGGTCCTAATGGTTAGCCTCCAACTGCTAAGAAAGTCAACTTGCTATAGGTGTTTTACAAGGAGTTCCACTAAGGGTACTCTAACC